ACACACACACAGACAGATACACACACACAGACAGATACACACACACAGACACGCACACACACACAGACACGCACACACACACACACACTTGTACAAACCCATCGTGCTGAATGTCCCTCAGGTAGGTGAAGAGCTCCTCCATGGCTGGAGCAGGTCGGTTGGAGGTGACATGGTGCATGCTCAGCAATCGCGACAGCTCGCCAATCTGCTTGGGCGACAGCACTCCACTTGAAAATCCTACACAAAAAGGCAAATGTATAATTGAAAACAGGCTTCCGAAATGGTAACCATTAAACTATCACCGATTGTATTAAAACCCCATCCAGTTTGCTCATGTTCTGTCAGGAAGGATATCTGCCAGAATACCCAGTCTGGGATACATGTGACTCCAGCCCCACAGTGAAGAGGTTGACTCTTACTGCGCTCACAACATGTACAGCCGCTCACAACATGTCACAAAGGGTTCAGAGCACTGTCTAATAAAGAGAGAAAATCTCGGCGATGGTACCAGAATCAACAAGCCCCAACACTCTCATCACCTGGTCTCTTGCCCTTTGTAAACTTTCAGCCCATCCAAAACTTTGCTGCATACATCCGAACTTGTACCAAGTCTTGTTCACAGGTCACCCCTCACGCTCACTATTTCTCCCTCAGATAGGAAGGGTTTAGAGGGATATAGACCAAAAGATGGCAAATGGGACTAGATTAATATAGGATATCTAATCAGCATAGGTCAGTTTCTGTTCTGTACAACTCTATGATTCTATAAACATCAGCAGCCATTCCTTTAGCTTGTATGGGATCTTGCTGTGTACAATGTGGCTGCTCCCTTTCCTACATACACGCTGACTACACCTCAAACAAGTGCTTGGATGGATGCAAAGTTTTTTGGGATGACACAAGGTCTCGTATAAATGGTTCGGTCTTCTTCCATTTCAGATGTCACACCTGATTTGCGAGGACTTTGGGATCCAAGCACCCGCTGCAAAGGGACGGCCTCCGAGGGGTCCACTTTCACTTTCTGCACGGCTCGGCTGGAAGACTTGCTGTTCTGCCCAACTGGGAGCTGTCTCATCGGCTGCGGCCTGGCACTCTCCCAGAGAGCGGGACAATCACGCGAAACTGGAGATCCTCCTGAAAGCAGAAAGCACTGCGTGATTTAGAGCAGGAGGAACCCTCTGTATCGTGCTTATCATGTGAGATGAAACACATTAATTTCGGCAATACCCTCCAATAATGGCAGAGAAACTAGAGAAGCTGGGGCTGTTGCCAGTTAGAGGCCACAGGGAGATTGAATAGATGTGTTCCAAATTACAAGCTAATTTGGGAGAGTGAATAAGGGGAGATTTTGACCACTGGACATAGGTTTAAGGTTATTTGTCGGATAACTGGAATTAAATGGAGGGCTTTTTCTTTACAATAGAGAGAGTTGCTGTGCAGTAACTTCCAAAAAGGGGAAATTAGATAAGTATTTGAAAAGACACAAAGGGCCACAGGAAAATAGCAGTACAAAATGGATTGCTCATTCAAAGAGCCAGCATGGGCTTGCTTGGGCCAAATGACCCCATATGAATTAGGAGCGGAGTTCTGCCCTGCTCCAACATTCAATAAGATAATGGCTGATCCGATTACAGCAACAACTCCACATTCTCGCCGACCCCAGTAACCTCTGGTGCTGATCAAGTCTCCTTCTTCAGTGCTGGACCATGTTAAAACAACACCTGACTCTCTGTGGTGAAGCTTTATTGCACTACCTCTGTTTAAAGTCCACAGAGAACAGGACTGCGGCTCGGAATAATGGCCCGCTGCCCCTTCGCCCCAATCTGGCTCAGGCCAAACAGTATTCAGTTCCTGGTTTATACAAAGACAGAATGGATACTTATACGAAATGCCAGATGGCAATGGGCGCTTGTGGAATTCATTAACACCTTCAGAAGGGAAGAGGGGTACATTGAAGGGTGGAGGCTCCACAAACTAAATAAAACAGATACCCCTCTCCCTGCTTACCTTGCTGGGATGCCACATCGTTCTGAACTACATTGGGCTTCTCAGGTTCCGCACCAGTTTCCACAGGATCCCCAGGCGATCGGTCTAAAAGCTGAGAACACATGAGAGAGAGAGCGACAGAGAAAATAAGCCAAAAAAAGAAATGGTATGCTTCTAATTGGGCTGACAAAGCCCTTTTTTTTACACCTCTGAAACCACACATCTGAAAGCATCGATACCTAAAGGAAACGCACCAAGGCTAGTTACACCCAACCTCAAGCAATCACAGCAAGTCTGGGTGCCGATGGGTAACCTAGTTTGTTTAAGAGAAACTGTTTTACACTTCTCCTTTTCCAGGTTCTGAATCTTGACCAACAAACCGTCGAACGACCAGTGGGTGAATTCAACACAATCTTTCCATTTGTGTGTTCTAAGCACAGTTGGCCTTGGTGGGGGTTGAGGTGGGTGCTGCAGTACAACCTCACCAGCATGATATCAGGGCTGAAAGGGTTCAACTGTAAGGAATAAGCAAAATAGGACAAACGCGACCTAGTGTACAAAGCCAAAGCCACGTCTTTCTACTTGAGGGCCGGCAATGCTCCTGTAGACAACCCACCTACCATTTGGATGTAATATTGGAGCTCACTGCTTCGGGAGTTCTGCTCCTGGGAGGAGGATTGTCCCCCTGATGACTCAAAGCTGCTGTTCTTGGTGGTTCCACCCTCACTGGCCAGCTGATCGTGGGTTAGCCTGTTGTCATCTGCATCATCAGTGAACGGGTGCTCAGCCAGCTCGTCTGGATGGACCCCAGAGGCTGCAGAAAGAACATAAAGACAATGGAATGACAGATCTCCCATGCGTTCCCAGCACTAAACCTTTGAGTCCTGCAGGCTTTTACAAAAGGAGGAGGCCAGGAAGACCATTTTCCAGCAGCCAGTGTCTTGTCCACATCTCCCCCTTCACACCAGACAACAACCTAAAACTCTCTCCTTCGAGTGTTAAAAGACCATGTGGTGTTTGCAAAGAAGAGCAGGGAATTCTCCCACTGACCAGATTAACACTCCTCCTTCAATGAATCATTGAATGGTTACAGCTCACGAGAAGGTCATTTGGCCCATTGTATCTGTGCCAGCTCTCTGCAAGAGCAACACAGCTGGTGTCACTACTCTGGTTTCTCCCCCCAGCACTGCAAACATTTCCCTTTTCAGGTAATGATCCAATTATCTTTTGAAAGCCTCGACTGAACCTGTTTCTACCCAACTCTCAGGCAGTGCATTCCAGACCTGAACCACCCGCTGCATTAGAAACACTTTTCCTCAGTCTACTTCAGCTTCTTTTGCTAATCACTTTAAATTCAGCATCCTCTGGTTCACAACTCGAAAGAAAAACTGCACTTTGCAGCCAATAATATACTTTGTGGAGCGCAAGCACTACTCTAGCATAGGAATTAAAATTTAAAAGCAAATTAACTCCATTTTGGAGTAGGGAATGGCAACAGCACAGAACTAGCTGCCATGTGATTCCATAATGCTAGTATGACTGTCAGGCAGGCAAAAACAGAATTGTCTCCAGTTTTTCTCAGAACAGGGTAGCTCTGAACCCTTTACAGTCAATGAATTACTTTTTGAGGTGGAATCACTGTTGCATTGTAGAACATTGAGCAGTCAGCTTGCACACAGAAGCTACCACAAACTGAAATGATGGCAATCTCATCAGTTCTTAGTCACAGGCAGCCCTCATGACTGGGAACAGGTTCCGTTTCTGAGCCTGTTCACAAGTCGATTTGTATTCAACACACAGGACAATATAAAACAGCTGTTTGGAAGCACAGGAAATGTTCATATGTTGGCTCTTTAAAATCACACCCATGTTTGGGGTATAATTACACGTTCTTGAGAAGGACATCAGTAAATCAGGGACCCCCACACATCGGTTGTGGAGTAAACATTTTTTCTAGACATGGAAGAGAACTCCCCTGCTCTTCCTTCATTAGCCCCATGATTCAATCTTTTAAATCAATCTCCAGAGGCAAGCAGGTCTCAGTTTACCTCATCATTTGAAAGACGACACCTTTGACTAACTCAGTACTGCCTCACAGAATGTTGGCACAGACTACAGGCTCATTTCCCAGAGTAGGTTTTGAATCCATGACTTGGAGACTCTGAGGAGTGGGGGAGGACATTAGAAGGGGTGAAGAAACGGGAGAGCAGCAGGAGGGGAGCTATGGGGCTGGGGGAGCAGGGAGAGGAAGGAAAGGTAGGGCGAGAGAGGAGAGAGATGGGGAAAGGGGAGAAAGAGGGGGGCGGAAGAGGGAGAAAAGGGGGAGGGGTGGGGGTGAAGGGGTGTGACGGGGAAATGGGGGGAGTAAGGAGGGGGAAGGGAAGTGAGAGGGAGAGAGGGAGGGCAGCAGAGCAAGGGAGCGGGGGGGGAGGGGGGAAGAGAGGGAGGCGTACTCACAAGTGGAATGTGGGCAGTTAAGAGTCAACCATATTGCTGTGGGTCTGGAGTCACATGCAGGCCAGACCAGGTAAGGATGATAGTTTCCTTCCCTAAAGGACATGAGTGAACCAGATAGGTTTTTCCCCGACAATCGACAATGGATTCATGGTCGTCATTAGACCCTTAACTCCAGATTCTTTGTTGAATTCAAATTCCACCATCTGCCGTGGTAAGATCTGAACCCAGGTCCTCAGAACACGAGCTGAGTTTCTGGATTCATAGTCTAGTGAAGACCACTAGGCCATTGCCTCCCCAAAGAAAGACATGTGCAGAGGGGAGTGCGCTACCCATTTCATCCCAGGCTTTGCTTTACCTGTTACCATGGTCTCGTCCACCTGTGGTTCCAGAGGCTGGAAGCTGCCATGGCTGAGGAAGCTGTAATTTAACAGCTGGCTGAGGTCCTCCATTGATGGCTGGTAAGGCAGCAGGGGAAGCATGGCTGACTGGTTCTGGCTCTGCTCAGAGAACCACAAGTTCCCAGACAGTGGGGGCTGGTTGCTAGAGTGCGAAGGGCCCTGCTGCAGGTAACCTCCTCCACCTTTCATCGGGGGCTTCAGAGTTTCAGCAGCGGTTGAAGCCAGCGTATGGTGTCTGCCGAGGTTGTTGGGATGCAGGTCAGACTCCTGGTCTTTGGCTGCCATCGGTGCCTGCTGGTGAGAGGGAGCCAGTATCACAGGCTGCAAGGGAATGGCCTGAGGAATGGAACCATGGAAGCTTTGAGCGTCCGACGTGGAATTATCCATGAACACACAAGGCTCTCCGTTAGCATAGTGGGGTTGTCTGCCCTCAATCCCATCCCCCCGAACCTTGCAGTCCAGGGCCAGCTTGGCGAAATGGGATTCCTCCCTTTGGCTGACCCAAGCTGAATGTTGCAGCTTGACCAGATTCCCGTGCGCTTGGGTGCCAGATTGCTGAGTGTCTCTGCCCTCAGAGGAATGCTTCAGCTGGTCAGTGTCTGAGGTTGGGACAGGGTAAGGCACTGTCGAGGAAGAGGAGAGATCGGAGTCGTTGGCTGATGTTGTGCGGTTAAGCTCCCTATAAACAGGCACTTGGTCATGATGGAGGGCAGGTTGCTGCAGGAAGCATTAACAGATTTTGTTAGAACCGTCGCCTATCAAAGAATTACTTACAAATAAAAGCACATTTGTATTACCCTAACATAAAATGATACTGGAGGCACAGCAGAGCAGGAATTACTCCTCTACACTTCATTAATGGCGTTTTTGATGCAATGCATAAAATTACAATGATTCCAGGAATCTTGACTGTCAACCAGTTCAACCAAAGTAAGTATCCATTAATATAACAAACACAGTACAATCCAGTGATGACGCTTGCGATGCTTAACATCAAACTTACAGCATCGAAACAGGCCATTCAGTCCATCCAGTCAATGCTGGTGTTTATGCCCTCCTTTAACCTCTTCGTATCTTCAGAATTCTTTCTCCCTCATTTGTTTATCCAGCTTCCCCTTAAAAGTACCCAAATGATTCACCGCAAACACTTCCATTAGCAGTGGAGTCCCAGAGAACTGGGAGAGTATGGAAAAGAGCTTTCTCCCGAATTCTTGACTATCCTATTGATGCCCTTTGGTTCAGGTTCTCTCCACAACTGGAAACAACTTCTCCATGCCTAATCCATCAAAGCATTTCATCATTTTAAATAACGCCATCAGTATGAAGATTATGTTAAATCTGTATAAAACGCTGGTGCAGCCTTAACTGGAGTAACTGTGTCTAATTCTGGGTACTGCACTTTAGGAAGGATTACACTCCAGGAATTCTTCCTTGTGGCCACCTCTGCCAATCTGGCTTTCCTAATCTAAATGAAGATGAAAGTCATCAATGATTAATGTACTCCCTTTTCACATGGCCTCATTATCCCCTGATTTATTTTCTGTTCTACCACAATCACTACTGTTCAGGATCCCAAAGACTACACCTACCCATATGGATTCTATATCTTCTAATCAAAGGTCTTTTCTTGCTGTTGCCCCCATACCCACCACGCTTTCCTTCCTGCCTGTGCTTTCAAAAAGTCACATTCCCCTGAATATTTAGTTCCCAGTTTTGATCTCCTTGAAACCATGTCTCTGCAATGGCTATAAGGTCACACCTATCAGCCTCTATTTGTGGCATCAATTCACTTATTTTGTTCCAAGTCCAATGTCACAGCAAACATGCTTGGAGATCAAGCTGGAAGTCCCCACAACTCAATTATGCACAGCCAACTGGCCTGCAGCAAGTGCTTAAGAGGGCAAAAAGGAGGTTGGCATTTGTTGCAAGGGGAATCGAATAGAAAAGTAGCAAAGTGTTGCTACAGCTCTACAGGGAGCTGGTGAGACCACATCTGGAGTACAATGCAGAGTTCTGGTCTCCTTATTGAATAAAGGAGAAGGTTCACTTGACTGTGTGATGGAGGGGTTTACCTTATGACAAAAGATTGAGCAGGTTGGGTCTTTATTCGGTAGGGTTTAGAAGAATGAGAGGTGACCTTATTGAAGTAGGTAAGATTCTGAGCGGGCTTGACAGTGAAGGCACTGAGAGGATGTCAAGGGTGGCTCAGTAGTTAGCACCACTGCCTCACAGCACCAGGGACCCAGGTTTGATTCCAGTCTTGGGTGACTGTCTATGTAGAGTCTGTATGTTCTCCCCGTGTCTGCATGGGTTAACTCCAGCTGCTCCAGTTTCCTCCCACAGTCCAAAGATGCACAGGCTAGGTGGATTGTCCATGGTAAATGCAGCATTACAGGGATAGGGTAGTGGGGTGGGTCTAGGTGGGATGCTCTTCAGAAGGTCAGTGTGACTCGATGGGCCGAATGGCCTGGTTCCATACTGTAGGGATTCTATGATGATTCTTCTTACGGAAGATCATGTGGTCTCCCACATAAGATGAAGAGGAGAAGAAATATTTTCTCTCAGGAGGGTCAGGATTGTGGAAACCACCTCCCCAGGGATCAGGGGAAGTGGGCCAATGATTACATTCAAGGACAAGGTGGAAAGATCTCTGATCAATAACGGAATCGAGTGTTGTTTTCTTCCATCTCGGGACTGCTACATCTCTCCGGTGAGGCTCAGCTGGAAAAACACCATCCTATTTTCCACTTGGGGACCCTGCAGCCTTCAGGACTCAATAATGAGTTCAATCATTTTAAAACCTGAACACCTTTTACCCATCCCCATAATCCAGGTCTCGTCATGACATCAGAACAGCCAACCTATTCTCACCTACTTCTGGCGCCAATAACCAACTTTTCTTTCTCCCCGGAATACTATCATTCATCGCTTTGTCTGCCTAACTGTTGATCTCTCTCTCTGGGCTCCATCTCCACTCACTCCTTTTAGCCTAACCCACCCAACCTTCTGTCTTCAGCAATTATACCACCTTTTCCTAGCTACTATCAGTTCAGAAGAAGGATCTCTGGACTCTTAACATTAATTCTGCTTTCTCTCCATCGATGCTGCCAGATCTGCTGAGTTTCTTCCCCAATTTCTGCTTTTGTTTCAGTTTTCGAGCACCTGCAGTTCTTTGTTTTATTTTAGCTAGAGACAGAGTCAGATTCACTGGAGCTGATTGGAATTGGTCTTGCTCTGCTACAGGGAAAGGAGCTCGCTGTTTGGGGAATCACTCATAAGTTGTTAAGGTCCTTTCTATTCCTAAATTTTACTGAATTGGTGGTAAAGTTAATAAATTATATTAAAAAAACTACACGAATAAGTGAATAATATATTTAAATCATGAAGGGCATGAATAGTGTGAATAGTCAGAGTCTTTTCCCCAGGGTAGGGGAGTCCAACACTAGAGGGCATGGGGTTTAAGGTGAGTGGGGAAAGATTTAAAAGGGACCTAAGGAGCAACATTTTAACATTTTAAGAGTCACAGTTATACAGCATAGTAACAGACCCTTCGGCCCAACCAGTCCTTGCCGAGCATAATCCCAAACTAAATTAATCCCATCTGCCTGCTCCTGGCCCATATCCCTCCAAACCTTTCCTATTCACTTACTTATCCAAATGTATTTTAAACGTTGTAATTGTACCCACATCTGCCACTTCCTCTGGAAGTTTATTACACATGTGAACGACCCTCTGTGTAAAAATACTTGCCCCTCATGTCTTTTTTTAAATCTCTCTCTTCTTACCTTAAAAATGTGTCCCCTAGTCTTGAAATCCCCCATCTAAGGGAAAAGACATCTACTATTAACCCTATTTATACCCCGCATGATTTTATAAACTTCTATAAGGTCACCTGTCAAGCCCCTATGCTCTGGTGAAAAAAGTCACACCTTACCCAGCCTTTCTTTATAACTCAAACCTTCCAGATGGTGCCTGTATTGATTGAGCTACCAAAGGAAGTAGTGGTGACTAGTACGAATCCACATTTAAAAGGCATCTGGATGGGTACATGAATAGAAAGGGTTCAAAGGGATATGGGCCAAATGCTGGCAAATGAGACTAGATTAATTTAGGATGTCTAGTCGGCATGGCTGAGTTAGAACGAAGGATCTGTTTCCGTGCTGTACAGCTCTATGACTCTTTGACACTACCTAGTTACTTAGAACTCACTAAGGATGGTGGAACAGGTAATATATCAAAGCTGTGGCATGTAAGAGCTCTGTGGGTGAGTCCAGAACCAGGGGGTGACATATTAACATAGACAGTTGGCTGGAGAAAACAGAAAGTATGCATAATGGGTTTTTGTCTGATTGGCAGGGTGTGACAAATGGAATCCCACAGGACTATGTGCCAGAGCCACAACATTTTGCAATTCAAATCGATGACTTAGATAAGGGAAAACAAAGGCATGGTTGCTACAGTGCAGATGACACAAGGAAATGTAGGAAGGTATTTTGTAGAGAAGACACAAGGAGTCTTCAGACAGATATAGATAGGTTGAGTGAGTGGAATAAAATCTGAATAAAATAGGATAAAAAGAACGACTGCAGAATTCCAAGCAGCAGATGAATTTAGGTGTTCTGGTGCACGAGTTATGAAAAGTTAGCGTGCAAGGTACAGCAGGTGATTAAGAAGGCTAATCGAGTGCTGTCCTTTAATATCAGAGTAAAGTAAGGAGATTATGCCTCATTTATACAGGAAATTAGTGAGACCACATCTCGAAGGATGTGTGCAGTTTTCATTTCTTTATTTAAGGAAAGATAAAATCACATTGAAAGTGATTCTGAGGATGTCTACTAAATTGATACCTGGAATAAGCAGGTTGTTTTATGAAGAAAGATTGGATAGGCTAGGATTGCTTGCACTGGAATTTAGAAGGTGGATGGGGGACTTGATTGAAATGTGCAAGACCCTGAATGGTCTTGACAAGGTGGATGTGGAAAGGATATTTTCTGTTGTGGGTGAGCCCAGAAGAAGAGGACACAGACTAAAATTAGGGATCACCTTTTTAAGACAGAGATGAGTAGAAACCCTTGAGACTTAGCTTCAGAAGGCAGGATCATTAGATATTTTTAAGGCAGAGGAAGAGAGATTCTTCATAGAATCATAGAAGCCCTACAGTGTGGAAGCAGGCCATTCAGCACATCGAGTCCACACCCTCTGAAGAGCATCCCACCCTGTCCTTGTAATCCTGCATTTCCCATTGCTAACCCACCCAGCCTGCATATCTCTGGGCACCAGAGGCAATTTCCCATGGCCAATCCACCCTAATCTGCACATCTTTGGAGTGTGGGAGGAAACCCAAGCAGACACGCGGAGAACGTGCAAACTGCACACAGACATTTGCCCAAGGGTGAAATCGAACCCAGGTCCCTGGTGCCATGAGGTAGCAGTGGCACCACGTCACCCCTTGTTAGGCAAGGGAATCCAAGGTCAATGGGGAATGTGAAAAATAAACAGATTGGCAGACTCAAGCAGCCAAATGACCTATCTCTGCTCCTAATTCTTGTGTTCTAACCTACTGGGTGCATGTGAGAGGCATCTTTCGGCTACGTACCGACAGTCTCTGGTGGCCTGGGGGTGAGCCTTCGGACATCAGCACCTTCAGTGCTTCGTTCCAGTGGGTCTGCATCATGCTCTGCAGCTTGATCACCATCTCACCTCGCTGCACCTCCAGCTTCCTCTTTGCAGCGAGGAGTCTGCCCGTCTCCTCCTGCGCTTTCGCCAGCCTACAACCCATCGTGCAAGAGAGGAAGACTCGCAATTAGATAGTGCCTTTCAATGCGGTGCATCCCAAAGTAACTTACAGCCAATGGGGTACTTCATAAAAAGTGCACTTGCTGTTATGATGCACAAAATGCGACAGATCAGCTCAGTCCAGCAAGATCCCACAAACAAAACAGGATTGCCATCAAAATTTACAATTGAGCGTGTTTGAGAGATCATCATCAGCTGTAGGACACTCGGGAAATCTTCAATGCTTTCCTTTGCATTGGCGGTTGTGGAATCTTGTATGCCAAATTGAAAAGTCTCTGTCTATCGTCCTATTTCAAAGACAGCACCTCGGTACTGCCCTGGGAATCTTGGCCTGCTCCAATATCTGGATAGGGTGCTGTGTAGGCAAACAAAATACAAACGTAGGATTCCAGAGAACTAACATAGAAATCGCTGGAAAAGCTCAGCAGGTCTGGCAGCATCTGTGGAAAGAAATCAGAGTTAACATTTCGGATTGAGTGATCCTTCCTCAGGGCAGGAATGGTCCCCTGGCCCGAAACGTTAACTCTGATTTCTTTCCGCAGATGCTGCCAGACTTGCTGAGCTTTTCCAGCAATTTCTATTTCTGTTTCTGATTTACAACATCCGCAGTTCTTTCTGTTTTATTCCAGGGAGTTAACTACTTTCAGTGAAACCAGAACATACATTTTCTGGGTCGATTCCTTTAAAGTTTTCATGTTTTTTGAGTTAAAAAAGCAACTGCAATGTTTTGCTTAGTCTGAGATTCTGGCAAAAGATGGTTTGAGAGTGGTTACAGAGTCAGAGTCACTGGGTCTTGAACCCATGATGTTACCTCAGGCCTTAATGGTCAGTGCACAGAGTATAGCAGCTGCGGGGTCATGTTGTGGCTGTGCAGGACATTGGTTAGGCCACTTTTGGAATATTGTGTTCAAATCTGGTTTCTCTGATATAGGAAAGATGTTGTGAAACTTGAAAGGGTTCAGAAAAGATTCACAAGAATGCTGCCAGGGTTGGAGGGTTTGAGCTTTGGGAGAGGTTGAATAGGTTGGGGCTATTTTCCCTGGAGCATCAGAGGCAGAAGGGTAGGTTCTTTTTCCCAGGCTAGGGCAGTCCAAAACTAGAGCACATAGGTTTAAAGTGAGAGGGAAAAGATTTAAAAGGGACCTAAGGAGCAACTTTTCACACAGAGGGTGTGCACATTTGGAATGAACTGCCAGAGGAAGTGGTGGAGGCTAATACAATTATAACATTTAAAAGGCATCTGGGGGAGGGGTACATGAATAGGAAGGGTTTAGAGGGATATGGGCCAAACGTTGGCAAATGGGACTAGATTAATTCGGGATATCTGGTCAGCATGGACAAGTTGGACAGAAAGATCTGTATCTGTGCTGGGCAACTCTACGACTATGACTCTATGACAGAAACACTGCCTTGATCTGCTGAGCCCAATGACGGTTGTTTGTAATGTGGATGCTGTGACTGGGGGAGACAAATACAGAAAACACCCAGCAGTTCAGACAGCATCCATTGAAAAAGAGTTACTGTTTCAGAGCTGACCATCCGTTCTGAAAGAAGGACCAGGAGCTGAAACACAAACTTGTTTTCTCTCTGCCCGGATGCCATCTGACCTGATGAGCATTGTGGAAACCTGGTATGCATGGACGAGTTGGACAGAAGGGTGTGCTTCCGTGCTGTACATCCCTATGACACTATGACTGAGATCCAGTTACTTTGGCCGACTACCCACTTTAATTAAACAGAGTCGCTGGACCTTAATAGACTTTGCGTGATGCTCAATCATCGTTAAATTGTTCGCTCTCAATTTTTGTTGCTGTGGACTATTACCAAACAATGCTGCTCTATTCTGGGTAACCAATACCGGGAGCTTAAGACAGTGCGTTCACAAATTAATATTTGGATATGGGCATCGCTGGCAAGGCCAGCACTTTTCATCCATTTCTAATTGCCCTTGAACTAAGGGCCTTATTTAGTCATTTCAGAGTCAATCACTTTGCTGTAGATTTGGAGTCACACGCAAGCAGACCAGGCAAGGATGGCAGATTTCATGTTAGTAATGCGTAAGCTACAGGGCAATCGGAAACGTACCATGCTGTGTGAAGAGGTCAAGCAAGCACCACAAAGCAAAGTAAAGAGGGCATCAGTGGCAAGCAGAAGAAAACTAGAAGCTTTTTTTTATTAAAAACCCCTACCTGATCTCGTACCCCTCAACCACACCACGGTGCTTCTCTTCCCGCTCCTGCAGCTCCGATTTGAACTCAGCTAGCTGCTTACCCATCTCAACCTCATGCTGTGCAGCCATTTCCATGATCTGTTTCCTAAAGAACGGAACAAGAAAAATCAGACATCAACTCACGGTTAGGACACCACAATCTGCAACGAATGCAAGGGTTTTAGCCACAAAGTTTAAGTTAGCATTCTTGGGGCTTTGATGGTGCAGTGGTAACGTCTGCACCTCTGATGAAGGAGGCCTGGGTTCAATCCCACCTGCACATGAGGTGTGTCATATCACACCTGAACAGAAAATATCTCGGACTATTCAGAACAGTAGCTCCAGGATTATAGAGTCTGGTGTTTTAGGGCTCTTGTGGTGAGATGTAGTGTCCCCACCTCTGATCCAAGAGCTCTGGGTTCAAGTCCCACTTGCTCCAAAGGAGCACAATAAAACACCTCTGAACAGGTTGATTAGAAAAAACCGATAAATAGAAGAAAGACACATGCACCCATTTGCTTCCAGCCCTCACCAAAAGGGCTATGATAGTGTAGTGGTAATATCCGTACCTCTAGCACAGGAGGCCAGGGTTCAAGTCCCACCTGCTGCAGAAGTGTGTAATAGCATTTCTGACCAGACTGATTAGAAAATATCTAAGTTAGCATTCTTTGTCCAGATTCCTTAATGGCTCATTGTCCTTTGAGTAGAAAGCTTTCCACAGTTTGTGCAAAGTTAAAGGATCAGAGCTGTGTCTTGGTCAGAAAGAACCTTTGTTTATGTTGCATCATTTACAACATCCAGACATCCCATCACAAACAATGCAGTACTGCTTTTGAGATGTAGTCGCTCTTTTGATGCAGGAAAGGCAGCAGCCAATCTGCACACAGCAAGATCCCCCATGAGATTGTCAGGGAGGACTCCTTCTGCTCAGCTTCAAATAACAGTCATAGGATCTTTTACAGCCATCTCAGGGGTCAGAAAAGGGCTGTGGTTCAATGTCCCACCCATTGGTCAACACCTCTGACAATGCAGTGTGCCTGTGATACAGCTCTGAGAGCTTACAGCCAAGACTTTGCAATCAAGTCTCTGAACCAGTCAGCTCAAGGGATAGGGTCTGCTACCAATTCTGAGCCAAGGCAGATATCGAGATCACATAGATTAAAAGGATAGTATGCAATCCATTGCCGAATACACTTCTTCCCTCTTTAATGGGAACACTACTTTTTAAAGCGTGGCAAAGAAAGTTGGTAGGTTGGCAATCTGAATGCTAGATAGAGCATTATTTATATAGGGGAACCTCTATTTAAAAAGAGATGAGGAAAGCCATTTGGCACCCTTCACTCATTCAGAAAGAAGATCCAGATTGACACAAGCCAACTATCGTTTAGAACTACACCACAATTCTTGTCTCCACAAATTCACAGAATTGATATGGAGCAGAAGGATGCCATTCAGCCCATCATGTTTGTACCACTCAATCAGCTTTTTAACATGGTGCCGAACCCCTATCTTTTCCCTATAGTCCTGGGACACATTGTTTTTATTTCAATAATTACCTGACGCTCTCTTGAAATCTTCAACTGAATCAGCCTCTACACTTCCAAGCAGTGCATTCCAAATCCGAATCTAAACCATTCACTGTGTGGAAATGTTTTTTTTCCCTCACCTTACATTTGCTTCTTTTGCAAAACACTTCAAAACCGTGCCCTGTGGTTCTCTATCTGTTTTATAGAGAATAGAGAGTTTCTCCGTTTCCCTCATGATTTTGAAAATCAAATCTCCCCTTCCCTTTCTCCTCTCCAGTTTTTCTAATCTAGCCTCACAACTGAAGTTTCTCATCACTAGAACCATTCTTGTAAATGCTGCTGCACTGCACCAATAGGTCTACATCTTTCCAAAGCATGGTACCCAGATCTCTACACAATACCTCAGCTCAGGTCTAACCAGTATGTCAAGGTCAGTATCATCTCCCTGCCTTTGTACTCTTTTAACTGAAGTCTAGGATACTGTCTGCATTTTTATTAACTGTCTCTCCTTGTCCCGCAACCTTTACTGACACACTTGTACACCCAGATCTCTCTGCTCCTGTATACCCTCTAGAACAGCACCTTTTATTATAAGCTGTCTGTCCATGCTCTGTATCCCAAAGTGTATCTCCCCCTATGTCTCTGCACTGAACTTCAAACACCTATCTGCCCACTCTACCAACTTGATGATGCCATTTTGACACTCCATTGTGTCCCCATCACAGTTTACAATTTTTCAAATGTTTGCTTCAATGCAATCTTTGAAAATTAGCCCTCTCAGATAAGTTCCAGTTCATTTGGACTGGAGGCTAGGTGCCGCCGTGGTCTGGGTTGGAAGGGTTTTTGTTCTGAACGGTTTATCTCCGTATTTTCTAATTTATTCCTACAACCCGAAATGCTGGGCTTTTCATTTCTTTATTTTCTTTTTCGTTTCCTAAGAACTTGTGCTGAAGAATCTGTACCTCTGTATCTAAGATGGCGCCGTAAGAGGCAACTTATAAACTTTTCACTGCACTCATCTGAGTACACGCGTCAATAAAAATAATTCAATTCAATTCATTTATTTATATCTCTCCAGCTCCCTCCCTTTCCAAATGCTCACCCTCGTGCACGGGCCCTTCTGTTATAGGTTCCGAGTTTGGATAAGTGTCTTGGACAACAGAGTAGATAAAGGGGTTAACAGTTGATGTATTTGCTTGTCCAAAAGGCATTTGATAAGCAGCCGCATAAGAGAACTGCTACTTTCATCTTCCCCGTATTGGAGCGTGCGTTCGTCAAGATTGGGAAAATCAAAAGGGAGGATGTGGGTGACACCGTAGAGTGCCAGGAGGCAGCTCCCTGAACGCAGCGGGCACGAGCTGGTTGTTGGGTCTGTTTACCTGAGCTGCTCTCGTACAGAGGCTGTCTGTCGGGTGCTGTCTTCATGCACGGCTGCCAGGCGCTCTGTCACCTGCTGCTCCAGGGCCATCTTAAACTCTGTCTCGCTCTTGACCCGCTGTGATTCAAAGCGTGCCTGCAGCAGAGATACATTCAGCTTAAACAGTCAACTTGGCTTCACTAAGTGTCCTTTCCCCCTCATTTCCTGAAAATGAAGTATATTTTGGTGAGTGCTGGTCACCCTCCAGTCGACTGAAGCCGTGAGTTGTCAACAAGCTGTTTGAACACAGGGTGCTTACTTCCCGAAGCTGAGCCTGCACTTTTTGAGTTCGCCAGTCAAGGTCAGGACCAGAAATCCTGTCCAATCCCTCCTGGCTAACTCAGATAGTACTAAACTTAGAACATTTTCTCATCCAGCCTCAGACCATGTAGTACAGTTGTCTGCTTGGAATACAAAGATCAGGAAACAGAAGGACAATCAAATGTAGTTTTAAAAGAAACGTCGACCCCTCTCTATGTTCTTCCACTTGCAAGGACAGAGCAGGAGAATGGAAAGGCACAGACATAAAGGGCCAAATTCCCTCCTTCTGTGTTGTTCATGGCTTTAAATTTGATCCCTTCATCTGTTTTCTCTCTCCTGTTTGCACTCATGGGTCAAATGCAAGAACCCTGGATGGGCTTTCCCTGCTTCAGAGACACTGAGTCCTACCAAGCAACAGCGACTGGCTCAGCAAGAGCAAATTCACCAGACTAGCTCCTGAGTGGGAGGACTGTCCTGTGACAACAGGTTGAGGAGACTGGGCCTGTACTCCTTAGAGCTGATCTCCTTGAAACAGGCAAGACTCTGATGCAGGTTGACAGCTCACACACCCAGGGGCTGTTAGCCTCTGGCTGGAAATCTACATCACAGCCTTGGGATAACAGACATAGATAAACATTTACAACAGAGATAAGGAGAACATCTATGCTTAATGAATTCTGAATCTATGCAATTTTCTACCTCAGGTGGGATTGGATGCTCTTATCACTGTGTATATCAAAGGCTGAGACAGATTTCTGGTCTCTCAGGGAATTGAGGAATATCAGGAATGGCGGGAAAGTGGAGTTGAAGCTCAAGCTCAGCCATGATCCTACTGAATGGCAGAGAATGCTCGAGGGGCCGAATGATTTCCTCCTTCTCTTAACTCGTCTGTTCCTGGTTCGACCACATGCAGGACGGTGATCTGGTCAATCAAGACATCAGGAAGTTTTGTACGCTTTACCTTGACCAGGCTGAGCTCCATCTGCAGATTTTCCTTGTCACGTTTTGCTGTGTCCAGTTCAATTTCCACCCTCTGCAGCTCTGTTTGGACAGATCCAAGGACTTGCTGTGCATCTTGCGCTCGCTGAGTCTCACGTTGAGCGGTTGCCTGTGCAACAAACGCAGAAGCAATGTTTCAAACCACAGTAGGACTTATACACTTAAAGGTAAGGTCCAGGGGAGTGCTGCCAAACCTAAGGGTGCAGATTCATAGTTCTTGGAAAGCAGTGTTGCAGGTGGACAGGATAGTGAAGGTGGTGTTTGGTACGCTTGCCTTTATTGGTCAGCATATCAATTAGAGGAGTTGGGAGGTCATGTAGCAGCTGTACAGGACATTGGTTAGGCCACTTTGGAATACTGTGTTCAATTCTGGTCTCCCTGCTATAGGAAAGATGTTGTGAAATTTGAAAAGGTGCAAAAAGGATTTACAAGGATTTTGCCAGGGTTGGAGGGTTTGAGCTGTAGGCAGAGGCTGAATAGGCTGGGACTATTTTCCCTGGAGTGTCAGAGGCTGAGGGGTGACCTTATGGAAGTTTACAAAACCATGAGGGGCATGGATGGGGTGAACAGCCAAGGCTTTTTTTTCCCAGGGTAGGGGAATCTAAAACAATAGGGCATAGATTTAAGGTGACAGGTAAATGATATAAAAGGAATGCAAGGGGAAAGATTTTCATGTAGAGGGTGAATGGAATGAGCTGCCAGAGGAAGTGTTGGAGACTGGTACAATTACAACATATAAAAGACATCTGGATGGGTACATGAATAGGAAGGATTCAAGAGGGATACGGACCAAATGCTGGTGAATAGGACAAGATTACTTTAGGATATCTGGTCGGCATGGACAACTTGGACTGAAGGGTCTGTTTCCATGCTGTACAGCTCTATGATTCTATGACGTGGCAGTAAGACAGTGGAGGAGTTTGTGGGTGGCGTTGGGAGTGATAGAGATGAAGTAAAAGGCGGTAGAGGCAGACAGAGATTTGAGGGGGGAAGGGGGAGGAAGCAATGAGAAGAACTTTGTTTTATGTTCTGACAGCAGCTGTGATCTGGAATGATCTACCTGAAAAAGACAGCTGAATCTGATTCAAAACAGGATTTGGATAAATACCTGAAGGAGGAGGGGAAAGAAACATTATCGAGAAAGAACAGGGTGAAAGTGGGATTAACTGACTCTTTCACAGAGCCAGCGCAGGGATGATGGCTGAATAGCCTCCATCTACAAGTTAAAAACTCACTCTTTTTAAACACGTATTTGATACATATTCCATAAAGGCTGAGCAGATTGGGCCAGTTTTCACTGGAGTTTAAAAGAATGAACAGCGATCTTATTGAAGCCTATAAGATTCTGAGGCGTTTCCTCTCCTGGAGGATACTAGAACCAAGGGGCACTGTTTCCAGATAAGGACTCTCCCAGTTAAGGCAAAGATGACAAGGAATTTCTTTTGTTAAGTTTGTTAGGTTTTGGAATTGGCTTCCCCTCAGAGCAGTTGAGATTGGGTCATGGAATATATTCAAGACTGAGTCAGACAGATGTTTGACTGGCAAAGGAGTTCAGAGCTATGGAGGGCACTGGCAAGAAAATGTAGTTCAGGCCACAATCAGAGAGCCATGATCTTACTGAATGGCACAGCAGGCTTCAGAGGCTGAATGGCCTTCTCCTTTTCCTGTTCCTTGTCAATTAATTAAGTGTACATTATAGAATCCCTACAGAGCAGATAGAGGCTTTTCGGCCCATTGATTCTGCACGACCCTCTGAAAAGCATCCCACCCAGATCCACCCTATCCCTGTAACCCTGCATTTCCCATAGCTAATCCACCTAGCCCGCATATCCTTGGACAGTATGGGGCAATTTTGAATGGCCAATCCAGCTAACCTGCACATCTTTGGACTGTGGGAGGCAACCAGAGCACCCGGAGAAAACCTACGCAGACACAGGGGAAACATGCAAACTCCACACAGTCACCCGAGGGTGGAATCGAACCTAAGTCCCTGACACTGTGAGGCAGTAGTGCAAACCACCAAGCTACCCTGGTGATCTCCTTATCTCAGTCCTAAATGGTCATTTCCCTTATCCCTAAGGCTGTGCTGTGGAATCAGATACAGAATCAGAAACCTTGGTCTTTCTTCTCTCTCTCCCTACTTCACCTTCTCTTTCTCCAGCTGCTTCTGAAGCTCTTCTTCCTGCTGCGTGATCCTCTGCTCCAGTTGCTTCTCACGTTGGCTGCTTGCCTGTCGTTCCTCTGCTAGCTTGGCACGCAACGCCTCGGCCTGTTTGCGCTCGTGCTGCCTGCCGGTCTCTGCTGTTTCGCAGTCACCCTGCAGCCTCAGGCAGCGTTGCTGCTCCACTTCCAGAGCCTTCTGCAACTTCTGGTTCTGCTCTTCCTATTGGGGCGGGGGGGTGGATGAGGAGAAAAGGACAGAGTGGGGCAGGAGTGCCAAAGTCAGTGGGGAAGACCAGAAAAAACAAATCATCATTACATTTCTGTTCATTTTTCACTGTCAGTAAGTCGTCGTCACTTCAGCTAAAGACCCAACGTACCAAAGACACAGAAACATAAAACAAAAATTCTTAGAGTGCTTTATGGCATGGATGTTAATCTGTGAGGGTGGGTGGTCACAATCTCAGGATAACGGCCTCAATCATTTAGGACTAAGACGAGGAGGAATTTTCTCAGTCAGAGGATCATGAATCTTAGCAATTCTCTACCCCACAGAGCTGAGGTCGCTCAATCACTCGTTCAGAATATTCAGGATAGAGTTCAATAGATTTCTGGGTACTAAGATGGCTAAGGATTATGGGAATAGGGCACTGAGCTGGAAGGTCAGCTGTCATCTTGTTGAATGGAACTGTAAGTTTGAACAACTGAGGTGCTCCCTCCTGCCACTATGTCTTATCTTCCCTTATGTCCGTTCTTACTGTCTCTTGCCCTTTACACTGCTCTTTTGTTTAAAACATTATTAGAACTCTTTACTGCAGAGGGCTGTGGATGCTCAATCATGAAGGATATTCAAGACTGGGAATGGATGGTTTTTTTTGGATACGGAGGGAATTTAGAGATAGTGGGATAAAGAGGGGCATCCTCCCGCCTTGGGTTTCAACAGTCGTATATTCGCTTCTTACACCACCATTCAAAGCAGACATGACTTGGATCAGTTCCAATCTCTTGATACAAGATAACTAATCTTGGTGGTATATTTGCTTCCTCAATGTCCCAGTACTAGGAAAGGGACTGTTGAGCAGGACTCCTACACCTGATATAACATTTGGCCGTCATGGCTTAGTGGGTAGTGTAGTCACTTCCAAGTGAGAAGATCACAAACTTACGATCGGCTCCAGAAACTTGCACATGTTGAAATTCTCCCCACCCCCAGCCTCATCCCATGACCAACCCTCCCTCTCATCCCTGCCTCCCTGAACTATCTGACTTCTCTCCTACCTATCTCCCTCTCATCCCTGCCTCCTTGACCTGTCCGTCTTCCCCCCCACCTATCCACCCCTCCCACCTCACTGACCAGTCCCCACCACTGCCTACCTGCACACACCTATCGCCATCCCACCTACCTTCCTTGGTAAAGTAGGGCAAAGTCAGCATAGTTTCATCAAGGGGAGGTCATGCCTGACAAATCTGCTAGAATTCTTTGAGGAAGTAACGAGCAGGGTAGACCAAGGAGAGCCAATGGATGTCATCCTCCTGGACTTCAAGAAGGCCTTTGACAAGGTGCCACACAGGAGGCTGCTGAGTAAGATAAGGGCCCATGGTGTTACAGGCAGAGTGCTAGCATGGATAAAAGATTGGCTGTCTGGCAGAAAACAGGGAGAGGGGATAAAAGGGTATTTCTCAGGATGGGCAGCCAGTGACAAGTGGTGTGCTGCAAGGGTCAGTGTTGGGACCACAACTTTTCACTTTATACATTAATGACAGAGATGACTTGTGGGCATTCTGGCTATGTTTGCAGACAATACAAAGATAGGTGGAGGGACAGGTAGTATGGAGGAGGTGGAGAGGCTGCAGAAGGATTTGGACAGGTTAGTACAGTGGGCAAAGAAGTGGCAGATGGAGTACAATGTGGGAAAGTGTGAGGTCATGCACTTTGGTAAGAAGAATAAAAGCATGGACTATTTTCTAAATGGGGAGAAAATTCAGAAGTCTGAAGAGACTTGGGAGTTCTAGTCCAGAATTCTCTCAAGGTAAGCTCGCAGGTGGAGTCAGTAGTCAGGAAGGCAAATGCAATGTTGGCATTTATTTTGAGAGGACTTGAATATAAAAGCAAGATGTACTACTGAGGCTTTATAAGGCTCTGGTCAGGCCACATTTGGAGTATTGTGTGCAATTTTGGGCCTCATATCTCAGGAAGGATGTACTGGCCCTGAAGCGGGTTCAGAGGAAGTTCACGAGAATGGTCCCAGGAACGGAAAGCTTAACATATGAGGAATGTTTGAGGACGCTGGGACTATACTCATTGGAGTTTAGAAGGATGGGGGGGGATCTAATTGAAACTTACAGAATGCTGAACAGCCTGGACAGAGAGGATGTTGGGAAGATGCTTCCATTGGTAGGAGAGACTAGGACCCGAGGGCACAGCCTTAGAGTAAAGGGAACGGAGATAAGGAGAAACTTCTTCAGCCAGAGAGCGGTGAATCTATGGAATTCACTGCCACAGAAGGCTGTGAAGGCCAGGTCATTGAGTACATTTAAGACAGAGATAGATAGGTTCTTGATTATCAAGGGGATCAAGGGTTATGGGGAGAATGGGGTTGAGAAACTTATCAGCCATGATTGAATGGCGGAGCAGACTTGATGGGCCGAGTGGCCTAATTTCTGCTCCTATGTCTTATGGTCTTCCCCAGCCCATCTCATCTCCACCTCCTTGACCTGTCTGTCTTCCACCCCACCTATCCGCTCCTCCCACCTCACTGACCAATCCCCACCATCTGCACTCACCTATCACTATCCCACCTGCCTTCCCCAGCCCCATCCCTCCTCTCTCTATTTGTTTCAGAGCCCCCTTCCCCCTCCCCCATTTCTTAAGAAGAGTCCTGACCTGAAACATCAGCTTTCCTGCTCCCCTGATGCTGCCTGGCCTGCTGTGTCCCTCCAGCTCCACACTGTGTTATCTCTAACTCCAGCATCGGCAGTTCTCACTGTGTCTGAAAAACCTGAGACAGCTGTTTCTTGTGAGAGTTCAGGACCGTGGACAGCGACCAGTGCCATTCACGTTTTTAGCAGTCCCAAAGACCCGGCCTGGATTTCAGACCCTCCACAGTGTTACTCGTGTAAAAGCCAACTCCCTACTTTAAAAGGATTTGTTCTCAAAAACCCGGTTTTTATTTGAGTACACACAGTACGCAGTAATGGTGTTACTCTCTAAAGCCGGCATCAGCACAGGAATGCTTTTTTCCCCTTACCAACATGCCCCGCTCCACCTCCAGGAGATCCTTTTCTTGCTGCTCCTTCACCAGAGTTTGGTTTGCTTGAGATAAACGCTGTTCCAAGTTGAACATGACCTGGGAAGAAAGCAGAAATGCTGCGTCAATTTTAATATCATCTTCTGTGGGATGCAGCAACTATCTCTGTGGCCCTTCACCAAGGTTTTGGCTACAGATCATTGAGGAACAAACTCAGTTGATACCCTGAGCCAGCAGACTAGAGTAGTTAAGTCTTCAACACTGCTGGAAACAGGGACAAGTTTAATTTTCTTAAAGGGTGCACTTGACCCAAGTGTGGCTCAGTTAGTTCAGTTGGCTGGATGGCTGGTTTGCGATGCACAGTGATACCAACAGCATGGATGCAACTCCTCTACTGGCTGAGGTTACCATGAAGGATTCTCCTTCCCAACCTCTCCTGTCACCTGACCCTCAGGTTAAACCACCACCAGTTGTCTCTCTCTCACTCTAATGAGTCAGCACATAGAACATTACAGCACAGTACAGGCCCTTCAGCCCTCGATGTTGCGCCAACCTGTGAAACCAATCTGAAGCCCATCTAACCTAAACTATTCCATTATCATCCATATGTTTATCCAATGACCATTTAAATGCCCTTAAAGTTGGCGAGTCTACTACTGTTGCAGGCAGGGCATTCCATGCCCTTACTACTCTCTGAGTAAAGAACCTACCTCTGACATCTGTCCTATATCTATCACCCCTCAATTTAAAGCTATGTCCCCTCGTGCTAGCCATCACCATCCGAGGAAAAAGGCCCTCGCTGTCCACCCTATCTAATCCTCTGATCATCTTGTATGTCTCTATTAAGTCACCTCTTAACCTTCTTCTCTCTAACGAAAACAGCCTCAAGTCCCTCAG